TGTTCGGGTGTGCAAGCGTGCCTTCGAGCGACATGTTCACCGCACACCCGCCATGTTTGCCAGTCGGGGTCCCTTCGACCGCGCCAGGGGGAAGTGTAACAGGGCTGGACCTAAGCGCGGTTTTGCTGGACTTCGGTTGTGTTGTATTGACCGTTTTGGAGGGAGGTGCAGGAAAACATGTAGAATAAAACGAGCAACAAACAACAAACAACGTTCAGGTCCAGCCCTGAAGGGTAACACCCCACCCCTACTCTTTCAGCGGCGCCTTCCCGCCCTGCGAGGCTGGCCCGCGCAGCCCTCATCCGCTGTGGGGCCAGGACCAGACCTGGTCCGAACTGGTGCGTTATTTCTTTCTCTTTCTCTCTCTCTCTCTCTCTCTCTCTCTTTCTTTCTCTCTCTTTCTCTCTCTCTCCCTCTCTCCTCTTCCATTGCCCTCCCTTCCTCTCCCATCCCTTCGGGCCGTCTCCTTCCCCTCCCGCTCCCCCTCCCCCTTCTCCCCCCTTTTCCCCTTTTCCCCGTTTCCTCGGTATCCCGCTTCCCCTGGCAGTTTTCTTTGCCCCGTCCCTTCTCTCCCCCGTTTCCGCTTTCTCTTGTTCCCAACCATCCTGTGGTGGTGGGTCCTCGTTTTGAAGAGACAGCGCCTCGCGTCTCACTCCTTTCTCCCGCTCCTCCCTCCTCCCATTCTCCCCTTCCTCTCCTCCCCCCCTTTGGTACACCCCTCACACGCTTCGTGGTCACACAGGGAACCCCACCAAAGGCCCAACTGCCAGCGCTCGCATGCGCCCACCGCAATTATTTTGGCACACCCCTCGCACGTTTTGTGGCCCCGTAAGGAACTCCACCGGACGGCCCAGATGTCAGCGCTCGCATGCGCCCACCGCGTCCATGTTGGCACACCCCTCACACGCTTCGTGGCCCCATAGGGAGCTCCACCGAAAGCCCACGTGCCAGCGCTCGCATGCGCCCACCGCATCCATTTTGGGACACCCCTTAGTCGCTTCGTGGCCCCATAGGGAACCCCACCGAGGTCCCCGATGCCAGCGCTCGCATGCGCTCACCGCACCCATTTTTGGGACACTCCTCGCACGCTTCGTGGCCCCATAGGGAGCCCCACCGAAGGCCCACATGCAAGCGCCCGCATGCGCCCATCGCAACCGAGCTCCCCTCACGCGTTTCGTGGCCCCACAGGGAGCTCCACCGAATGCCCACATGCCAGCGCTCGCATGCGCCCGCCGCATCCATTTTGGCACACCCCTCACACGCTTCGTGGCCCCATAGGGAACTACTCCACGGGCCCCGATGCCAGCGCTCGCATGCGCCCAGCGCGCCCATTTTGGCACACCCATCACACTCTTTGTGGCCCCATAAGAAGCTCCACCGAAAGCCCACATGCCAGCGCTCGCATGCGCCCACCGCGTCCATTTTGGGACACCCCTTGGTCGCTTCGTGGCCCCATAGGGAGCCCCACCGAAGGCCCTGATGCCAGCGCTCGCGTGCGCCCACCGCACCCATTTTGGTACACCCCTCGCACGTTGTGTGGCCCTATAGGGAGCTCCACACCGAAGGCGCACATGCCAGCGCTCGCATGCGCTCACCGCGCCTATGTGTGGACACCCCTCACGCTTCGTCGCCCCAGGAGGAAATCCACCGAAAGCCCAAGCGCAAGCGCTCGCATTCGCCCACCGCACCCATTTTGGCACACCATTCTCACACTTCGTGGCCCCGAAGGGAGCTCCACCGAATGCTGCGCATACAACGGCAGTACCCACAAGTGCATATGGTTGGGTCGCTCGCCAGGTTAATTTTTCCAAACCCTTCCGGTCCTCCCCTGTCGCCCCCTTGTCGCCCGTCTGCAACGTGGTCGGCGGCGTCGTCGTGATGGTGGTGCACGATGCATTGGTCGGGGCTAACTTCCTTTCCTCGCAGTGACCGCTCACTTTGTCCGTCCGTCTGTCTTCTGAAAGAGCTGGTTCGTCAAGCTGCCACGCCCACTGTCCAACACCCCGCGAGTCCTCCTCATCCCCCTGCCCTCCCCCCCCTCGTCGTCATCCTCCTCGCCTTCTTCCTCCTCCTCCTCCTCCTCCTCCTCCTGGACGTCTCCTTTCCTCCTCCCCTCCGCGTGCCCCTCCTCGTCCCCCTTCTCTTCCTCGTCCCCCCTTCTCTTCCTCCTCCCGCCCTCGTCGCCCTCCTCCTCCTCCTCCTCCTCCTCCTCCTCCTCCTCCTCCTCCTCCTCCTCCTCCTCCTCCTCCTCCTCCTCCTCCTCTCCTCCCTCTCCTCCCTCCTCCTCCTCCTCCTCCTCCTCCTCCTCCTCCTCCTCCTCCTCCTCCTCCTCCTCCTCCTCCTCCTCCTCCTCCTCCTCCTCCTCCTCCTCCCCCTCCTCGTCCTCGTCCTCGTCACTGCCTCCCCCCCGAACGAGGAGGAGGCGGAGTAGGAGGAGGAGGAGGAGGAGGAGGAGGAGGAGGAGGAGGAGGAAGGGACGGGGGTTAGCTGGCCGACGGGCTGGCTGTTGCTGCGCCCCTCGAGGGTCGCACAGCCAGTGCTTGGGCCAGCCTGGCCAGGCAGAGCCGTTCCGTCCTGGCAGAGCCTGGCCAGGCAGGACGGCGCTGGCTGGGGAGGTTCCCCTCGACTCGGAAGCCGTGGGAGCCCAAGCCACCGCAGACTTCGCAGGCGAGCATCCCTTCCCGCCCGAGCCACCCGCGGGAGCGCGACGGGTGGGCGATCACCCCGCGCCCCGCAGGGCCGGCGACCCTGGCGCGGGCGAAGGGTCCAGGGCTTGCAGGGCTGCTTCAGCCAACGAGTGGAAGACCCCGGTCCAGCGAGGGATGGGCTCCGCGCCGCCTTCGCGGCACTTCCGCCTCGCAGAGTGCGGGGCGCGGGTCGCGTCGGCACGGGCCGCCTCCAGGCCCATGCACTCATCCTGCCCGGTCTGTTCGGCACCGTCGGCACGGGCCCAGGGGGGGAGGAAGAAGGCAGTGACGGCACGGATCCTACGTCTGATGCGCTTGGTTTCCTGCTCTCTCCTCCTCCTCCTCCTCCTCCTCCTCCTCCTCCTCCTCCTCCTCCTCTTCCTCCTCCTCCTCCTTCTCCTCCTCCTCTCCTCTCCTCCTCCTCCTCCTCATCCTCCTCCTCCTCCTCCCTCCTCCTCCTCCTCCTCCTCCTCCTCCTCCTCCTCTCCCTCTCCTCCCTCTCCTCCTCCTCCTCCCTCCTCCTCCTCCTCCTCCTCCTCCTCCTCCTCCTCCTCCTCCTCCTCCTCCTGTCCTCCCTCTCCTCCTCCTCCTCCTCCTCCTCCTCCTCCTCCTCCTCCTCCTCCTCCTCCTCCTCCTCCTCCTCCCTCCTCCTCCTCCTCCTCCTCCTCCTCCTCCTCCTCCTCCTCCTCCTCCTCCTCCTCCTCCTCTCCTCCTCCTCCCCTCCTCCTCCTCCTCCTCCTCCTCCTCCTCCTCCTCCTCCTCCTCCTCCTCCTCCTCCTCCTCCTCCTCCTCCTCCTCCTCTCCTCCTCCTCCTCCTCCCTCCTCCTCCCTCCTCAAGCTTCAGAAGGGACAGAGCTTCCGCCTCAGGGACCTGGGCCCAGGCGGGACAAGCGTGCGCCAACTCATCCGCAGCCCCACTGACCACCGAAAACGTCCAAGCTTCACGGCCGGCCGACGTCTGCTCGTCTTCCGAAGGGTGGCAGCTACCTTAAGGAACTGAACGTCCCTTCCGCCTGGGAGGCCCTTGACCGAGTGCCGTCGGTCCTTGTGAGAATTGGGTGGCCAGGAGCCCCCTGGAAAGCTTGAGAAAGCCACGGGCCATGTGCAGTCAGCCCGCATAGCAAGGAGGAGCAAGCTTCACGCTTACCTTTGCATCCTTCCCTTGCGTCCCATCCTTGGCCGCCTGCGCTGGCCGCGCTTTCGCTGGCCGCGCCCCGCTCTCAGGGCGTCGACATGGCCTTCCAATGCCAGCAGGAGGAGGAGGAGGAAGAGGAGGAGGAGGAGGAGGAGGAGGAGGATTTGAATCTTCGTCGAGCGTCCTTACTGTACGGGTGGACTGAAAAAGGGAGTCCACCCTTTGGGGGCCTCATGCCGAGGGGGATGTGCGTGTACAAGTGTTCAGACACGCCCTGGCCACAGAGTTGGCGACGATAGGGGGATTCGACGTGATTTTCACGGCGCTGGGCTGCCGTCGCGTCGGCGCCAGTTGCCCTGCCCATGCACCTCTGACGTGCACGGCGTTCTTTCTTGTTTGTCTGGGTTCCTTCTCTTTGTCTGGTTTCCTTCTCTTTGTCTGGTTTCCTTCTTTTTGGTTTCCTTTTTTTTTCTATCTCTCTCTCTCTCTCTCTCTCTCTTTGTAAAGGGAGTCGCTGATGCATCCCAGGTCTGTATCCCTCGTGGCCGCCACGGCCTAACGGAAGCCGTGAGCTCTCCCCCGCTGAGGCCCTGGTGCGGTCCTGGAAGAGCCCCCCCCCCCCAGACTACCCTCGGTTCTCGGAGGGGGTGCTCAGGCCCAGGAGCGAGTCTCGTCCTCCTCCTCCTCCTCCACCTCCTCCTCCTCCTCCTCCTCCTCCTCCTCCTCCTCCTCCTCCTCCTCCTCCCCATCCCCCTCGTTCCCCTCCCCCTCCTCGTCCTCCTCTCCTCCTCCTCCTCCTCCTCCTCCTCCTCCTCCTCCTCGTCGTCGTCCTCCCCCTCCTCGTCGTCCTCCTCCTCCTCCTCTTCCCTCCTCCTCCTCCTCCTTCCTCCTCTCCTCGTCCTCCTCCTCCTCCTGTTCCCGAACTCGCAAGCGACAACGGCCCAAGAGATTTCTCTGAGGCGAGGGTGCTTACTGAACTTCCCCCCCAACGCGTGAGGAGGAGGAGGAGGAGGAGGAGGAGGAGGAGGAGGAGAGGTGGAGGAGGAGGAGGAGGAAAAGGAGGGAAAGGACGAGGAGGATGACGAAAACGAGGAGAGGAGGAGGAGGAGGAAGGAGGAAGAGGAGAGGAGAGGAGGAAGAGGGAGATGATGTGCATAAGATGCCCCAGCACCCCCAAGGCTTGGGTACCGGCCGCCAGCGCAGGCGCCGCCTGGCGGGGCGCCTGGCGCGCCGCCGGGCGCCATGGCGGGGGCGCCCCCCGGCGCGATGGCCGCGCCTGGCATGATGCAGCAGCCCATGGCGCCGCCAATGATGCGGCGGTGAGGCGGAGGGGAGGGGGGACAGGGACAGAGGAGAGAGACGCGCGCGAGGACGACGGACGAACGACGACGACGACGACGACCGCCCGCGCGCCCCCGGCTCCACGGCAGCGTGCGCCCAGTGGTTTGCCCCAAGAAAGGGGAGGGAGGAGGGAGGGGGGAGGAGGGAGCGAGGAAAGGAGGGAGGAGAGCGAAGAGGAGTTGCAGGAGAGGAGGAGTGAAGAGGATGCCCAGGAGAGAGGAGGGAGGGATGGGAACGAGGAGGAGGAGGGGATGGAGAAAGAGGGATAGGAGGAGGAGGAGGGGGGGAGGAAAAGAAGGGATAAGAGGGGTGGAGATCATGACATGATGACGGGGGGGGGAGGACCAAAACGAACCCATGATGTATCTACGATGCGCTGCAGTGCGCCAGCCCGACCCAAATCCCCTCGCAGAGGTCCCTTGCAGGCATTCCATGATACGCTGCGCGAGCCGCCGCGCCTGAAATGCGAGCGCCCCATGGGACCGCAATCGAGGCAGGAGCTCCGTTTCGAAAAGGGAATGCCCTCCACCAGTCGAGCGGAAAAAGGTTCGGTGATACAAGCGAGCGAAGGAAGGAAGGAAGGAAGGAATCCATAAAGAAAGAAAGGAAGGAAGGAAGGAAGGACAGACAAAGGAAGGAAGGAAGACAAGGAAGAGGCAGGAGGAGCAGGAGGGGGAGCAGGAGGAGCAGGAGGAGCACGAGGAGCAGGAGGAGCAGGAGGAGCACGAGGAGAGCGAGGAGCACGAGGAGGAGGAGGAGGAGGAGGAGGAGGAGAAGGAGGAGGAGGAAGAGTACCAGGGCCAATGGCAGGAGCGGGAGGAGGAGGAGGAGGAGGAGGAGGAGGAGGAGGAGGAGGAGGAGGAGGAGGAGGAGGAGAAGAGGAGAAGGAGGAGAGGAGGAGGAGGAGGAGGAGGAGGAGGAGGAGGAGGAGGAGGAGGAGGAGGAAGAAGAGTACCAGGACCAATCGCAGGAGCAACAGCTGCAGGAACAGGAGCCCCTCCTCCCCCCTCGCAGCATCCGCAGGCGGGCGCCGGGGGCCCCCCCGCGGGCAGCGCCCGCAGGGCGCCTCGCGGCGAGGCCGCGGGGCCGCCGGCCAGTGCCGCGGGGCCTCCGTGCTCCTGCGGCGCTGCCGCGGCGCTGCCGCGGCGCTGCCGCGGGCCGTGTCGGTTGCGGCTGAGCCTCCTTGCGGCCCTCCTCTCCTCGAGAAGGAGGGAGGAGGAGGAGGAGGAGGAGGAGGAGGAGGAGGAGGAGGAGGAGGAGGAGGAGGAGGAGGGAGGAGAGGAGGAGGCGGAGGAGGAGGAGGAGGAGGAGGAGGAGGAGGAGGAGGTAGGGAGAAGGAGGGAGGGAGGGAAAAGGAGGGAGAAGGGAGGGGGGAGGGAGGGAGGGAGGGAGGGAGGGAGACAGGGAGGGAGGGAGGGGATCCCTCCCCTTCCCTTGTTCGCCCGTTCCTCCCCTCTTCCCCCTCCTCTTTCTGCGCCCCTCTCCCGCGCTCCCCCTTTGCGTCTTATGATCCCCCTCCCTCTCCCTCTTTATCCATCCTCTCTCTGTATTGGTAAATACTCCCACTCTGCCATCTAGCCGGACAGGAATCCAAGTGGGCGCGACGGTCAGCGTTTGATGCATCACGAATGCTTCTCCGACGAGCACCTGGTCAGGGATTGCCCACGGCGTCGCGGGCAACTGCCAGGCCGCGCGCTGTTCGCTGCAGCCATGCGCCCCAGCCCTCTTGCCGACCTCGGACGACGCGGGCCGCCGCAACCACTGCCAATTTCACAACGCCCAGCAGGACCGTGATGCAGCTGAGCCATGGGCCGCAGGGCGCAATGCCGCAGCACCGGTATCACCACGCGCATCTACGGCGGGATCACCACGCGCCGAAGCTTCGCGGGCGCAAGTGGCTCATGCCTGGGGCAGTTCTCGCGCGCAGCCGTTGGGCGTCGCGTATAATCACGAGGGGGGCGATGAACTGGGGGGTCGGAGGTTGATAGACCGAACCCCCTGTTCATCACCGATGCATCGGCGATGCGGCGCGATCCTCCGACCCCATCTGCTCCGACCCCATCTACGAGGCCTCTAGCGAAGCCCTGGCGCCCGCGGGGCACGAGGGAGCGAGGATTCAGAGATCCGAGGGTATGGTGGTATGGTTGCTTCAATCTGGCGCTCTGCCCTGGAGTTCGGCCTCCGGTGCCAGGTATCGGGCCCGGGGACCCTCAGAAGTGGATCCAGGGCGAGAAGCCACCCCCGGGGAAAGGATCGGGACCTCTGGGGCCGCGGAGTGGAAACCAAAAATCAGGTCGGCGGATGTCTGGGGTCGAGGCGGCCCTGCCGCGACCGCCGCCCACTCGGCAGCTCAAGGGCCTGAGGATAAGAAGAGGGCCCCAAACTGAACCTTCACTGCTGAAGCGCCGATGGTCACGGCGCCCGCGGCTCCCAGGCCAGGTGCTGAGAATCAAGAGGTGCTTCACTCCCCCTCCTCCTCCTCCTCCTCCTCCTCCTCCTCCTCCTCCCTCCTCCTCCTCCTCCTCCTCCTCCTCCTCCTCCTTCTCCTCCTTCTCCTCCTCCTCCTCCTCGTCCTCCTCCTCCTCCTCCTCCTCCTCCCTCCTTTTCCTTCCTCCCCCATCCTTTCTCCTTATCGATCGTGCCTCCCTGTCGCATCCCCGCGTCGACATGGAGGCCCAGGCGTTTCACCTCCGACGCCCTGAAGATCATTTGGGGTTCTCGCCTTGGCGCCCCGCGCAGTCGTTCTAGAGAACTTGCAACAGGTACAAGGATGAAGGGTGGTTCCTTTTCACCATTGGGGTCTTGCCGCGCGCATTCGTTGCAAACGCTTCCAACTGCTACGCGGATGGAGGGGGCCGTGTTCATTATGGGACTCTCGCCGCTTGCGCCCCGTGTTTTTCTTCTGAAAGTTTTGTAACGCGTGTAGGGATTGAGGGCGACGCCTTTTGAACATGGCGCCCTCGTCTTCGCGCCGCGCACATTCGGTTCAACATCTCTGAACTGCTACAATATTGGGGTACAGGGCGAGGATCGATTTCAGAATGGAGCTCTCGCTTCAGCGGTGCGCCCGTTTATTTTAATTGCTTGCATCAACTACAAGGATGGAGGGCGATTCCTCTTCACCATGTGGTTTTCGCTCGAGACATCCACATGCTTCAAGGTTGCATCGCGAAGAGCTGGACAACTAGAAGGCGTTCCTCTTTCAATTGTGCTCTCGCCTCGGTCGTCCTCCAGTCTGGGAACCAGAGCCATCAACCTGTGCACTCTTGACACGCGGATGTGGGGCGGGGGGGCGTCGTTCTTTCTCTGACCAGGGCTCTCGTTGGGCACGTGGCTCAGCGTCGTGAGCTCCCCGCATCCCCCTGCAACCCGCTGCCGCTATGCAGGGCCGTCTTCTGCGAGACGGAGCCTCCGCCGGGAGGGGAGGCCCATCGGGTGCTCGTCTTTCCCGAGGGCGCTTCTCGCTGTGAAATGGACGGCTTGTGGGGGCGTCCGAGGGGGGGGGTTGGGACGGGACGGCGCATTGCAGCATCGCTGACGTTTCTTGGACTTTCTCTGGGCCGCTCTCCTCCCCCTCCTCCTCCTCCTCCTCCTCCTCCTCCTCCTCCTCCTCCTCCTCCTCCTCCTCCTCCTCCCTCCTCCTCGTCTCATCCTCCTCCTCCTCCTCGTCCTCCTCCTCCTCCTCCTCGTCTCCTCCTCCTCCTCCTCCTCCTCCTCCTCCTCCTCCTCCCTCCTTCGCCTCCAGTCTTGTCCTCTCCTCTTCATCCCCTTTCTCCTGCCCGTTGTGCCTCTCTCGCCGTCTTTTCCTTCGCGCTCGCGCGCGTTTTTGTCAGCCCGCCGTGGCGGCGGGCGGGGGGGAGGCCCGGCTGGCTGGCGCTTGGCCCGAGGCCCCACGAGCTGGGGTTGTTCGGAGTGCGCTAGCGGACCACCTAACCGATCCTCCTCCTCGTCCACTTGCCTCTCTCCTCCTCCTCCTCCTCCTCCTCCTCATCATCGTCATCATCATCATCATCATCATCATCATCATCATCATCATCATCATCATCATCAGCAGCAGCAGCAGCAGCAGCAGCAGCATCATCATCATCATCATCATCGTCATGGGAGTGTGGGCGCAGTAATGATCCAGCAGTGGCGCAGTTGTGTCGATCCCCTCTTCATATCTATCGCCATTCAGGGTCAAGCTGCTCATGAGCGGCTCGGCCCCTGCCCCGGCGCGCCCGGCGCGGCGCGCGGCGCCGCCTGCGGCGGCGATGCCGCGGCCTGTGCCTGCCGCGGGCTCGCGGCCCGCGGACGAGCTGCGCCCAACGCCGCCAGCTGCGCCGCTGCCGGCTCACATGCGGCGTACCTCGCGTGATGGCTCGCGACGGGGCGCCGCGGCCGGCGAGTTCGATGGGGGGCCCGCGGCCGTGGCGCCGGTCGTCGCCGCGGGGGTCATGGTGACTCGGCTGCGCGGGGGGGAGATCCCCGAGTTGCTGGCGCTCTGTTGCGCTGGTGGGCTCGCCGAGGAGTCGGGGCTGCAGCTCGAGGTGCCTCCTGGTGGGTGGGTGAAGATGGGCTGGGACACCTACCCAAGGGGCGCGGACGGCGCGGCGGCCCTGGTGCGCTCAAGGAGGTGCACTGGTACCAGCATCGGGCGGCCGCTGGCGACGAAGGCCGTTGGAGCCCTCGCGAGGCGCGGGCTCGTGAAGTGCGCTTCATGACGAAAGCGCGAGCTGCGGGCGGCCACGGCGAAAGGCAGGTTCTTGTCGTGCGCCGAGGAGGCGCTGAAGCTGGCGAAGCCGAAGGAGCTCGAGCTGCTGGCGAAACATCGGTCGCCGACCGTCGAGGCGACGGGGCCCGAGGCCAGGGCGAGGCCGAAGCGGAAGGTGCCCCGCAGCAGCGCGGGCCGGGAGGCGCCTCCCGCGGCGCCGTTGCTGCCGCCGCCGCCGCCGCCAGCGGCTGCGCCCGCCCCGCTTCCGGCGCCGCCGGCGCCGGAGCCACCGGCGCCCGCGCCCCCGCCGGCGGCCCCGCCAGCAGCCAGCGGCGCCATCGGGATCGCCAGAGAGGCCGCTGCCGCCGCGGCGCGGCGGAGGAGACTCTCCGAGCCCAGCGGGGGATGCGGACGAGGCGCGGCCGGCAGGCCGCGCCCGCCGTCGCCGCAAACGCCCGCCTGGCCGCAAGGGCGGAGCCCGCGGGCGCCAGGGCCCGCCGCAAGGAGCTCAGGCGACAGCAGGGGCTGGGCTGGCGCAAGCGTCCGAGGGCCGCCAGCGACGACGAGGAGGAGGCCACGGACGCCGAATCCAGCGTGCCGACGCTGCTGGACGAGCTTGAGGCGGAGCCGCCGCGGCGCGCGGCCGGCGAGGCTGGGCGAGACGCGGCGGCTGCAGGGAGCTGGGGCCGTGACCGCGGCTGCGAGGGCCGTGGCTCGGGGCCCGATACCCCGGCAGGGGCCCCATGACCAGCGGCCCAGGCGGGGGGGGGTGCCCGCCCCCCCCCCGCCGCGATGCATGGGGCGCGGAGGCGTCTGGCCCTCAGATGGCTCGCGGGACATCTTTCCGCTGCCGCATGGGCGCCTCGGCCGGCTTGCGACTGGAGGCCGGGGGCGATCGTTCCAGGCGCAGCGCGATGGCGCTCTCTCCGCTTTGAATGTGCTCGCTGGTTACGATTTCGCAGCTGGGGCCACAGTCGCGGAGGGGGTGGCAGGGCATAAGTCCGCGGCCGCCCGCGCCGAAAGGCCCCTGGAGAGGACGCAGCAGGCGCTGGATGACGAACCCTCCCCAGCGCCTCAAGAGGCCTTCCGCGACCTTCTACAGGGACGAGCCGCGCACGAATGCGAGCCCGTCAGCAGGGCGCTTGCACCCCGCCGTCGCGACGCGGCGTCGCTGCCCGAGTCGGTCGCCGAGCGCGGCCTCTTCGCGGAGCAGCGCGACGCCTGCTGACACTGTACGGAGGGGAATGGCCGACGAATGCTTCGATCGGCGGAATATAGACAGAGGTTAATGCATGACAGACACGTGACTCCACGCGCGGAGCCTGGCTCGAACCGCAGCTGGCGGCGGCGCGCCGACTTCATTACCAGCCCGCGGCAGCGTGGGCTTGCGAGGTTCAGCCGAAGCTGCATCGAGCGGACCGGACTGTTCTCTATTTGGAAGAAGGGGCGTTTGAAGATGCGCATGATTCTTGACTGCAGAAGGTGTCATCAATGGTTTTTGAAGGCACCGCACGTCGAGCTGCTCACGGCCGAGAGGCTCGCGGGAGTCGAGGCCGAGAGTTTCGGGGGCGGCAAGGTGCCCGTGCTCATGGGCGTTGCCGACGTGAAAGGACGTGTTCCACAGGTTGATTGTGCCAGAGTGGCTCTCGCGATATGTTGGCCTGCCCGACGCGCCGGCCGAGGGCGCCGGCATGGTCGGCCAGGTGATCGACGGGGCCGTCGCCGTTGCAGGAGATGTGATCGCGCCTTTGGCGCGGGCGCTGCCCATGGGGTTCACCTGGAGTCTCTATTTCTGCCAGCGGATAGACGAGTCTTTGCCGGCGGGCGCCCGCGCCCCACGCCTCGGGGCCGCTGAGGGGCCGCGGTCGGGCCGCCATTCTTGCCCTGAGTAACGGTCCGCGCGAGCTCAGGCACTGGGCGCGCGTGGACAACCGGGGGGAGATGGGCGATAGTCGCTCGGAGGTGGGGCACGCGCTCGCTGACGCGGTGAAGGTCTTCGAGAGGTTCGGCCTGCTGGTGCGCGGAGAAGAGGCGAAGGGCGACGCCGCGGAGGCGCTCAGGGTTGTCCTCGACGGAGAGTTGCAGCGCACGTCGCTGACGAAGAAGCGACGCTGGCGGCTGCACTCCGCGCTCCGACACCTTTTGAACCGCGGGGGGGCCAGCGGGGCGATGGTGGAGGTCGTCCTGGGGCACTGCGCCTTCTGCGGCCTGGTGCGGCGACCCGTCTTATCGCGCTTCCATTCGGTGTGCAAATTCATCTCCTTGAATCACTCGGTTCAGCAGCCGCTGCGGCCGTCCGTGGGGAACGAGCTGCAGGCTTTTCTCGAGCTGATGCCCTTCTTGTGCTCGGACTGGTGGCCGATGTGGAGTCGACTGGCGAGCGCCGATGACGCCTCGGAGCGGGGCCACGGGGCCCCCACTCCTTGACGTCCGAGCGGCGCAGGCGCGGGAGCGCGCGCTGTCGGCCGCCGGAGTTCGGAAGCTCGCGGGGCTGCCGCCGCCGGCCGAGGCGGCGCTTCCAGGAGAAGACTTCGGCGGGCTGGGGGCCGCGATGGCCTCTGGCGAGTACGAGGTCAACCTGGGCTTCCCCGAGGTGGCCTCGGCCGGGCTGGCGCATGGCCGCTGGGCGCCGCGCGGGCGCTGGCGCTGTCGCTTCGACGTGTGGCGTTGAGGTCGTTCGGAAAAGATGTCCGCCGAGTCCTCCTCGTCGATAACATGGGCGTGTGTCTCAGCTTTCGTCGATTCAGCAGGGATTTCAAGTTGTTGAATCAGATTCGTGCGTTCGCTGCCTACTGTCTCGCTCACAATATGATAGCGGCTGTCCGCTGGGTACCCAGCTAGCGTAATAACTCGGACGAGCCAGGTCGAATCTGTGATCGGTTTCCTAGCGCATTGCGCCTTCTCACCCGTCATCTGGACGTGGGTACCAATAAGGATAAGGGTATTTGTTTTTCCGGGGGGGGGGGGGGGGGGGCAGCTGACCCTGGCAAAGGGGGTCGCAAAGTATACATAGCAGCAGCAGTGAGATTATCGACGGCAAGGAATGCGAACATAACCGCCAATGTCGTTCTCAACATTTCGTAAGTTTTTTCGGCTCAATGCCCTGCTGACTACAGCCTGGCGCACGAGGTGGGCAGTCCCGCGGCGGCTGGAGATCCAGCCGCGGCCGCGGGAAGGCCGACGGCCGAGTCCGGCGCTGGAGACTTGGCGCGAGGCGCCGAGCTGAAGGGCAGCTCGCGCTGCGGCTCGACCGCGGGCGTTGCAGAGTCGGACAGAGTTACTTCGCCGGGGTGCTCTCCCGAGCTGCGTCGCGAGTCGGGCGACGACGGGCAGCAGACAAAGTCCGCGCTGGGCCAAGCGGCCGGATCGGCCGCGGCCGACGCGAGCGGGTCTGCTGACGATCGGCGCTTGGAACGCCGGCGCGAGCGGCGGTTCCAGAGGGCGCGACCGCGCCGCGGGGCACGGCGAGGCGCGGCCGACGCCGAGACGACGGGCCGCGCGGCTGGCCGCTCGGTCGACAGCGCGCGCAGCGACGAGGCCGCCAAGATCGCGGCCGTGGCTGAGCCTGCCAAGGTCACAGTTGTTGCCCGTCCCGACCCGCTGATGGGTACCAAGGGCGCGCTCCTGGTGCGTGATGCGCGCTGGCCGAGCGAGGCCGATGGCCGCTGACGGCGGGCCGCTGTACCTGGCGCCTGGTCCGCGGTCTGGCCGATCAGACGGCGGCCGGATCGCGCTGGAACTGGCCGAGTCTCTCGCTGGCAGCGCGGTCGCGACCCTGGACATCGCCGACAGCGCGCAGGCGGTCGCGGCGCAGAACCCAGAGACGGGCGGTGCGTCAGCCGTTGCAGCGCCCCCGCGGCCCATCGCCGGGCGGCCGACTGGCCGCCTGCGCGAGGCATCTCGAGGGCATCTCTATGCCAGAGCGGAGCGGGCTTCAGCTCGGGGGCCGTGGAGGCACTTGAGTCAGCTCGCTGGGTTCCCAGCTCGATATTTCGACCTCGCGAACGGTGCCAAGGGCGACGCGTTGCGGCCAGAGGTGATGAATGTTCTGATCGCCGACATACAGGCAGGGAAAGCGCTTTGCATGATGATGGTGCCGACCTGTACGACGTTCAGTATTGCCAAACACGTTTCAAAGACGTTGGCGACGCAGGAGCTCCCGATGGGTGTTCCTGAATTGCGCAGACAGGATAGGGCTATTTTGAAGCAAAGCCATTTCTTGTCTTATCTTTTCAAAACGCCCGCCATGATAGCGCTAGGCGAGATGGAGGGAGTTATCCAGGCTGTTTCCGATGT